TCAGTGATCTGCACTGAGAGCAGAACTCTGCTCTGGTCCCATAGACATGATGACTGTGATGTGTGGGTTATTCTACACGTGGCAGTGTAGAGACCCAGGAGTGCTCTGTCTCAACTCCATCACACAGCACCTGTTGGCTCTGCTCCCAATGAGCCTGTCTTTTCCTTAAGGCAAACCCTTCACCAATCTGGCCCAGATTCCTGTTGGAGTTTGGTCTCAGAGAATCCTTCAGACACTTGCTGCTGCATTGACATCCCCATCCTCTTCTCAGGTTAGCTGTGTCCTGGTTATTTCCTCAGGGGACAAGATAGCTCAGTGTGGACCATGCAGGGTGTTTCTGACACAGTTTCTTCACAGTGACTCTCCTGCTGATACTTCCCCACTATTGGACACTGCTAAAGAGCTGTGAGGAGTGTGAAAGGTGAAGTCCAGGGAGGGCTGAAAGGCAGTCAGGAAGTCAGCAAGGGAAGGTGGAAGGCAGATCTGGGGACCGGGTTGGTAGATTCTAGAGTCCATCATGAGAGTGGAGTGTGCACTGCCCTGCTTTCAGCCTCTTTCCTGATCACCAAAGGACTGACTGGAATTCATATTCACCAGCTCAGCGGGCAAGAAGCAGCAATGTGTGTGGGGAGGGTGCTCAGGGTTAAGAGCACTGACTGCTTTTCCAAAGGTCCTAAGTTAAATTTCCAGCAACCACATGGTGGCTCACAACCATCTATAATGAGATCTGGTGCCCTCTTCTGACCTGCAGGCATACATGCAGGCAGAACACTGTATACATAATAGATAAATAAATCATTAAAAAGAAGGAGAAGCAGCAGTTGGTAAGGAAAGGGGGTCTCCAGAGAATTAAAACTCAGACAGGCCAGGATTAGGAGATGGGATTCGGAAGGGTGAACCTGAGAGAGCACACAGTAGGAAAAAAAAAAAAAAAAAAAAAAAAAACAGGAGAGAACACAGAGCTCTATGTCCAGATGTACTTTCTTTTTTTTTTTTAATTTTTTAAAATTTATTTTTATTTTATATTCATTGGTGTTTTCCCTGCGTGTATGTCTGAGGGTGTCAGAAGCCCTGAAACTGGAGTTACAGACAGGTGTGAGCTGCCATGTGGTGCTGGGAATTGAACCTGGGTCCTCTGGAAGAGCAGCCAATGCCATCTCTCCAGCCCCACAAGCTTTAATTTTTAATTTAGTTGGGATTACAAAAAGACCATATGTGTCTGTAGAGAACAGCAGAAACAAACATTTTGGAAGATTTATGAAATTTTATCCTGTTGGAAATGTACTATACCAATAGGCAAATTTATTCTTTTTCTTGGGACATTTTCTCTGGATGATTCATCTTTTTTTATTCAGATGTCTCATTTTTTTTCCAATGGTCTTCAGATTCCTTAGTTTGATGCCTTTATTCTCCAGATCTACTGATGACAACTTGAAGTGTGAGGCTGGCTGTCGCTGCCCCACATAGCTGGGCAGAGAACCCAGAGGGCGCACGGCCTGGCTGAGGGCAGCTGCAGCAGCTTGCATGTAGCTGGGCACTGAGAGTGTGTGGCGGGGCAGCACCTGGCATGGCAGCAGCCCGACGAGGGGGTCCAGGGGGAGCCTGCAACCCCTGGGGAGAGGGCACAAACCACCTGAAAAGCAGACACAGGGAGGGTCCGGAAGAAGCTTGTGTGGCAGGAAGAGAGGGCACAGGGGCTGCCTGAATGACAGAGCCAGCCAGTGGTGTGTGGCTAACTCTGGTGGCGTTTGATGGTGACTCCAGCGGCTGCAAAGCTGGTGTCAAGCAGCTGCCTTGTGATCCTGTGTCCCATGTTGGGTACCAGATCAAGTAATTATTCTTTTATCAATAAAAACTCAGGAGTCAGATATTGGGGTAAAAACCTGATTGATTAGAGAAGTGGCAGAGAAGCGACGAGCGATCTTTTCTCTCTCTCCCTCCTCCATCCAAAAAGCCCAGATGTACTTTCTGCTGCTGTGACAAGCACCATGATCCACGCAGTTTGGTGGCCGAAGGGTTTCATTTCCTCTTACAGCTCATAGTCCATTATGAAGGGCATCAGGGCAGGAGCAGAGGAAAGACCGTGAAGAAACACTGACTAGAGGCTTGTCCCCGTGCCTTGCCAAGCCTGCTTCCTTAGACAAGCCAGGACCACCTTCCCAGGGATGACGCTGCACACAGTGCTCTGGGCCCTCACACATCAATCACTAATCTAAAAAATGACCTAAAGACTTACCACAGGCCCATCTGATGGATGCATCTTCTCAAGTGAGGTTCCCTCTTCCGAGATGACTCTAGCTTGTGTGGTGTTGACACAGAAACTAACCACGACCGACACTCTGCATGCCCAGCATCCCGCTTCCTTATTGGGGTATGGAACAACTCCCCAGGTGAGACTCTAGGTCCCACTGCTGCTACACCATTCACAGAGGCAGACGTCTGTAGCTGCCAGGGATCCTCTCCTCACAGAAAACTATTTATTCGGTCTGTTCAGGCCAGCTAATCATAGGTGGTCCGGGATGACATCAAAATTGCTTCTATTTACAATAATAGCAAGTCTGATAGCATCACCTAACTTGCTGGTGTCACAGGTTAACATCCATAGAGGCCGTTTATTGAATGTAACTTTCATCTTAGTAAACATGGTTTGGGATGAAGGCATATTTTCCTAGACATTAAGTCACTTCACCGTCATCCAGAAGGGTGTGACCGCTAGTGTTCCGAGACTTGCTGGCCATAGCTCTGAACACTTGTGAGAGGGCATGAAGCACTCAGGTCCAGTCCACCCAGCCCAGGTAGTACCACAAGATGTCATCCAAAAAGGGACATAAGCAGGGATCGGGGAAGCAGGGGAAGGTTTTCAGGGCAGAGAAGATCAAGGAACTGGCTTTGGTGCCTAGACCAAGAGCTCAAAGAATTAAACTATGGAATTAGCAAAATAAAGACTCATTAAAGGACTGTGAATCCCAAAGACCTTCCATGATGGGGGTTTAGAGCAAAGGCATTAACATGACCCTCGGGAAGGTGGTGTCAGTGAGTCTGCCAGTGGGACATAGGAACAGGTGTTGGGGGAAATGACCTCTATCCTGACCCTCCAGAATGCCCTCTATTGTGCAGTTTGCTGAGCTCCTGGATGCCAGGGGATGGAGTCTGCCGTGAAAGTCCCTGAATGTGAGTGACTCTGCACAGCATCAGCTATGCAGGGCATAGAGTGAAAATATGTAAGAGTCATGTCCCAAGAAGGAAGATTTGCTTGCCAAGACTGATGAAGAAGACATGTGCAAGACCTACAAACGAGGAAATAAAACTCAGACCTTCGAGCATCACAAGCTTCCGATGGAGGATGGAGAGAGAACAAAGCTCGTCCTAGGTGGCACCTGCTTCCCTGCAACACCCCGTCTATCATCCCAACTACTCTCAATTAGTCACTGCTTCCCCTATTGGAAAGATGAAAAAAGTGAGCGTCTGAGCCAGTGTGTCCGAAGCCACATGGTCATCCCCTGGTGGAGCTGTCATTCAGACCAACCCTCAAACACAGGCTTCTTCCACTGTGTGTGGCAGCACCGGGATTGCCACAGAATGACGAACAGGTCATACCTCCAGAATCTGGCAAGACATCGGGTCTCTCCAATGATGGAGATGGAGTTGGGGGAAGGGGCAGGAGCCAGACTGCACAGTCTAATGGAGAGGAGTGCGCAGTAAGGGGAGGTCTGTGTCTGGATCTCTTTCCACTGTGAGCTTGAAGCAGGCGTTAACACGGTCTTCGTAACAAGAGCAGTTGGGGCAGTTAGCATTCTAAGCCTTGCTTGCCCATCATCTGCAGGAAAGGAGTCAAGGAAGGGAACACGGAGTTTGAGAAAGCAAGAGGTTAAACACAGAAAAGAACAGATATCCAACAGGGCTCTGAAAGTGTCAAGATCCCAGCTGGAGGGATGACCCCTGGGTATGGTGGTGTCTTTGCCTCCGAGCCAAGCAGAGCAGGAAAGGGCATTCATGGAAGTAGAGCCAGAAAGATGACATATAACACTAAGGAGACTTGAGAGCAGATGCTGAGATGGAGGAGGGGGAGAGAGTCGGGGAGAATGTCAAGGGGAAGATGCCAGACTGAGTCCTGTGTGCAGCAGAGCTTCAAGGCCACATGCTGGCCATTGAAACAGCAACACAACTCTCCTATCTTCTGGACCAGCCCTCAGCAGCAGGTGAACAAGAGGGAAGAGCAGACGGCTCTAGTGAGTCACAGCGGGACACTGGCAGAAGGTCAAGGGGAGGAGGGATGAGCTGGGGCTGGAGTGACCTTGAGAAGACTCTTACAAGAAGGGATCCATGTTGCAATGGGACTTGGAAGACCTCTGTATTACCAGTGTCCTGTTTTCGATAGATTAGCTCTCCAATAGTTTGGTCTAAAGGTTCCCTGATCATGTCCTCCACCCACATCCCTTTCAACACATCATAAATATTAAAGAGACAGCTTCCAAGTCAGCCTCAGAAACAGAAAACAAAGTTGAGGAAGTAATCAAAGACTCTTGGAGAGTGTGTGAAATGTCCACATCCCTAGGAAGTTCCTGATGCCCTTGCATGGCCCCAGGTCCCTGGCAACTCTGTTAAGGCGTACTAATGATGATCCCCTGCCAGAATCAGGAACCCTATCCTTTGGGGACTCGGTTTCCTTGAAACTCTTTTTATTCATAATCTTCCGGAAACAAGTTTTGTTCTCTTATCTAAAATGAGTGTCCCATCCATTCCCGACCCAATAGTTGCCATGTGCTGTGCAGCCTGGGTGGGCTGCTCTCTACCTGGACATGGCTGCTGTAGACTTGCCACCTGATTCATCTCTCTTACACTGGGAGACTTGGCTGCTTTCTCCGTATCCAGCTAAGGTATAAATTCCCAGAAAATTTGCACTTGCCTAAGACACAAATAAGCATGCAGGCAGGCAAGCAGCTGCCTGTAGGAGCAGTGTGCTGGGCCAGTGAGGGACAAGGATGCTTGCTGCGGCAGGAGCATCACCCCGGGTCGGTCCCACTGCTGTCCCAAAGTACCCACGGCCCCCAAGCCAAGGAAGGTTTCTGCTCAAAAAGGGGAAGCCTGGTGCAGGATGCTCTCCAACAGGCAAGTGCAAAGGGCAGCTCTTTAGATGCTCCTGGTGTCCCGTGCTCTTCCAGAGCTTAGGATGTAAAAAAATCTGGGAACCTCATCTGATACCCATCTCAACCCACAGACGAACTCACTTTCCCATGAACTGAATCATGCGAGGCATGACAGAGTGAGCTGAGCAAGAGGCAAAATGGGGCAATCTCAGGAGAGCTACCTGAGAGCTGAGATGGGCGGGGACCACAGAGACGGCAAAGAAGGCCTGAGTCCACTCCCTAAAAGTACTTCAAAGACAACTCAGCAAGAAGGCCTGCCCATTGCATGGATGCTGCCAGGAGTCCTGAGGTGCAGTGGTCCACCAGGCCACCACCCTGAGCCTGCATCCCATTGTGATGGAGGGAGGTGGGTGAGGGAGGAAACCCTGTTTCAAAAAACCAAAAAGAAAAAAAAAAAGATTATAAACACCTGAGTGATGCTCAAGAAAACACAAACCGGCAGCTGAATTAGAAAACAATCTACAACAAAGGTGAGGATGTGCAGAAAGAAGAACCTCATTCGTTGCTGGTAGGACTGCAAACTGATGCAGATACTCTATAAATCAGTGTGGAGGATCCTCAAAAGCTAAGAGTGAATCTACCATATGACCAGCTGTATCACTCCTTGGCGTATCCCCAAAGGATTCCACATCCAACTCTACAGATACCTACTCAGCCGTGTGCATTGCTCTAATCACCAGGGCTAGAAAATGGAAACGACCAAAATGCCCTTTAACTGATGAACAGATAATGAAAATGTGGTGCATATATATGGTAGAATGCTATTCAGCTGTAAAGAGAAATGAAATTCAGATAAATGGATGAAACTAGAAAATATTATACTGAGCCGGGCAGTGGTGGTGCACGCCTTTAATCCCAGCACTCAGGAGGCAGAGCCAAGCAGATATCTGTGAGTTTGAGGCCAGCCTGGTCTACAGAAGGAGATCCAGGACAGGCACCAAAACTACACAGAGAAACCCTGTCTCCAAAAACTGGGGAAAAAAGGAAAGAACGAAAAAAGAAAACTGAGTCAGGTAGCCCAAACCCAGAAAGACAAATGTCACATGTTCTCTCATCTATATTCCCCAGCTCCAAATCCTCAGATGTGAGTACATAGACTGTAGTGACTTCAGGGACTAGGAAAGTAAAGGGTCAGAGGAGCAAGGGGAGATGATTGCCAGAGAGAGGAACAGCAGGATAAGGGTGATGTGAAGGCAATGTGGGGGAAGTGGGGCATATGGGGAAAATGGCAGTGGGTTTAATTGAGGAGGGAGGATGAATAGCTGTAAGGATGCTTGCAAAAGCCGTAGGAATCATACTATTTTGTATTTACCATATATGTGTATACATAGATATAGTTTTAATGAAGTTATACCTCTTGAGCTGACAAAGCTCCCCCAAAAGGCCATAGACTATCTAACAAAATTCCGAGTACCAAGCATGAGAAACCTCAAGTTGGTGAAGGGAATCAAAGACTCTCAAGACAATATAGACTATTGTCGTCGCTCTGGGTTGCTTCAGGAAATTCAAGTCCTCATTGCTAAAGACACCACACACTTTGGACACAAGACTGCTTTGAAATAATGTTTTTGGGGTTTTTTTTGGGGGGGTTGTCTTTGTTTTTGTTTTTGTTGTTGTTTTTGGTTTTGGTTTTTCGAGACAGGGTTTCTCTGTGTAGCTTTGCGCCTTTCCTGGGACTCACTTGGTAGCCCACGCTGGCCTCGAACTAACAGAGATCCGCC